GTGGTATAAAATAGTTTTGTGTAAATGGACCAATAGTCTTGGTGCCCCAAAAATACATCATGTAGTTATAGTAGCTGATGCTCTTGTTTTCCTGTAAGGAAGTGGGCAGTACATACCCCAGCTGCGCTGTGGCTGTTGTCAGTGTGGAGCTGTGGCATAGAATTAGGACAAGCGTGTGTGGTTACCATCTACCTGTTGTCTGACAGAAACCCTGAGGTGGAGGACCATGCATCACTCATTGTCATGCTGCTGGCCCCAGTGCCAAATAAAATAAAAAAAATTGTGCAATTGCTAGATTATTTTAATATTCTAATTAAGTAGTGAATTAGGCTAGAGGGATGCACTTTCTGTCTTCTATTGGATAGAATTATTAGGTCCTCATATTACGTACTACTGGTAAATCTAAAATTAAACATACAAAGATTGTACAGTCAGATTGTAACACGTATAGTAACACTAATGTTTGCAACAGACGTGTTAAAGCCTACGTAAAGCGGAGTTCCACTCAAACGTGGAAGCTCCACTTATTTGCCTCCTCCTCCCCTCCACTGCCATATTTGGCACCTTTTGGGGGGAAGGGGGAAGCGGATACCTGTTTTTAAAAGGTACTCGCTCCCACTTTTGGCTCAGTTCACTGCAGCGAAGTGAGACGGAAGTTCGGCCCCCTCCTTCCTCCCGCAGTCTGCTAGGACCTTTCACAGGTCCCAGAAAACCGCCAAACCAATCAGGAGGCACAGTGGGCACCAGGCTGTGAAGCCACAAGCTGTCACAGCCTGGTGACCACAGTTGAGATGCCGGCGCCATGGATGAGCGAAGTGGAGAAGGGACAGTGTGGGTGAGAACATCGCTAGACCCTGGGACAGGTAAGTGTATGTTTATTAAAAGTCAGCAGCTACAGTTTTTGTAGCTGCTGACTTTTATAAAACACAAAAACGGCTGGAACTCTGCTTTAATTCTAGATAAGCAGCAAGGCAAGAATAGGCATGACATTCCTAGACATTGAGTCAAGCTGAATATTATGGTTATATTCCACATTCAGTTTATTGGAGTCTTCTTTGATCTGGCACTCAGAAGATGTTCTGCTGTTTCACAGCCAGGAGTGACATCACTGAACATTTATAAGCTATGTGACACTGCTAGAGGCAGTTACAACTGCCTTTTAAAGTGTTCTGCAAGAATCAGAACCTGTAACATGGGTCTGTAACAGACGTTGGGGTTGACTTACTAAAACTGGAGCGTGAAAAACCTAGTGCAGCTCTGTAGAGAAAACAATCAGCTTCCAGATTTTTTGTCAAAGCTTAAAGTGGTTGTAAGGCTCAATGCACAGAATGCATGAAGGTAAAAAATCTTCTGTGTGCAACAGACTCCTCCAGCCCCTCTAGAACTTACCTGAGCCCCATCTCGATCTGGCAATGTGCACAAGAGCCTCAGCTCTCCCAGGTCTCTCCCTCCTATTTGGATGAGACAGCAGCGGTAGCCATTGGCTCCAGCTACTGTCAATCACAGCCAGTGAGAGTGGGGCCGAGCCGTGCTCCATGTGTAAATAGACACACAGAGCATTGGCTCAGGAGCAAGCCTGCTCGGGTGCTCCTATAGCAAGCTGCTTCCTATAGGGGCACTAGACAGGGGGGAGGGGCCTGGAGCACCAGTGGGGGGCCCGAGAAGAGCAGGTAAGTATGATATATGTATTATAAAAACACACAAACCTTTATTATCACTTTAATTGAACAAGCTGAAGTGAAAAGCTGATTGGCTACCATGCACAGCTGCAGCAGATTTTGCACTCAAGCCCTTTATGTCTATTAAATAACAGGGATGATGGGGAAAAAAAGTTACTTTACACTGGGAAGTTGGAAAGAAAACAGGGTTGATTGCATGTAGCTCTGTACTAATGAGCGAAAGGAGAATCATAAATTTATAGGATGCTGTACACAAGTGTTGCAGTGCAAGGAGTATGCTGATAGAAGGATGGAACAGAGTGACAGACAGATGAGCTTATTGGTTTGCTGCTTCAAATTCATGGTCCAGTCACAGTGGGGAAGGGACTTGTACGTGCTACAGATACCCTTCTCTGGCAGACAGGGCAGAAGAGCTCTGTAAATTTCAGAACTGAATGGACAGAAGTACAAATCCTTCGGCAAGTAAGACAGCCCCTTTAGGACTCATGCACACAGGTGCCTGGTGCCATACAATGTAAATATTGGGCGTATTTCCCCATACAGTAGCAACAACTGCTGCATACAGCCACAAACAAGTCAATTACAGGATGCAGCTGTAGATGGGTGTATGTTGGTACTTACATAAGCAGACAGTTTGTGTTCACGTGCATACAAATGTCTATGTCTGTACTTGTCTGTATCGTCTTTTGCAAGTACTGGCTAGTGATGGGCAGAACACTCCCCTGTTCAGTTCGCGGTCGAACATCCAAACTCATAGAATGTTCGACCATGAACTTTGAACACGAATTGAACAATATACTGAGCTGTATCTTACTGCATCTGAGTATGTGGTAAGATACCGCTCAGTTACTCAAATACGGCATGAGTTATATTATTAAGTCATGCAGTATTTTAGTAGTGAAACATTCATTATGGTTTCAGCTGTCAGTGGGGATTTTGAGGGGAACCCCAATGCCAAAATAAAAAACAAACGACATGGAGGTCCTCCCCAAAATCCATACCAGACCCATATCTGAGCATGCAGCCCGGCAGGTCAGGAAATGGGGGGGACAAGTGAGCGCCATCCCCTCCTGACCAATACCAGGCCACATGTCCCCCCAAAGAACCTTGTCCCCATGTTGATGGGGACGAGGGCATCTTCGCCACAACCATGACTTGTGGTTGTGGGGGTCTGCTGGTGGGGGGCTTATCGGAATCTGGAAGCCACCTTTAACAAGGGGGCCCCCAGATCCTGGCCCCCCTTTCTAAATGAGTATGGGGTACATGGTACCGCTACCCATTCACAAAAAAAGTGTAGTGTAAAAAAAAAAAAAAATACAAGAGACAGTCTTTGACAAGTCCTTTATTGAAAATAAAAGTAAAAAAAAATGTCCCCCAAAGTAGATCCAACATCAATCAGGATGCCCACCGCCGCTGCTACCCGAAAAAAAAAAAAAAAAAAGCACTCCGCTCGCGATGCCAGCTCCCACCATCTGAGAGCTGCGCCCCAATGACAGTTCTTAAATACTGTCATGATGTCACAAGGAGGTGGGGTTCACTGCACGCCCTTGTGACATCATCACGTGCTGTGATTGGTCAAAGCATTGCACCTGACCTGTGGTCAGATGCATTGCTTTGACCAATCACAATGCACTGTCAGGGCACAGGGCATTGTGGGGTGCGGTGGGCGAACAGCCCGTTGCACGCCCGTACCGTTCGTGTGTTCGCCCAACACACAAACAGCCCATGTTCGAGTCGAACTTAGGTTTGACTCGAACATGAAGCCCATCCCTAGTACTGGCATAAACTTTGGTACTTCTGCTTCTTCCAATTTATTTTTACGAGCTGCTGTATACAGCAGTAGTTGACCCTGGGTGGGAAAAATACTGTACATCTGATTTTTATCTTCGACGGCACCAGGCGGACAAGGCTAGATTCATTTTAAACCAATAATCTGCCATTAAGCTTAAAGTAGAACTAAAGGCAGTGTCCCATTGTGGAGATTTCCTTCCACTTCCTGTCCCATAGCCATAACTGGAAGTGAGCTGAAATCCCTCAAAAGTGAGGGAATCCCTGATTGTCCCCTGGGTTACCAGTACTAGTGTCCCCATTGGAAGATTTCCCCTGTCTTGGAGACAACCCAAAATTTTGGATTTCCTTTCACTTTCACTTTTGATGATGATGGTAAACCAGACAAATAAAGATGGTTAATCATCGGACACAGACAGCAATAAAAACCTGATAGGTGTTCTAGTTCCTCTCCACTCTATCCAAAACAAAAAAATGTTTTGCCTTTAGTTGTACTTTAAAGGCAGATTACCTTTTCTAAATAAAATGGAAACAGACAACCCCACAACCTTGTGATTTGCAACACTTCTGAAAATAACAGTTGGCTGCTGTTATGTTGGGTTGTGGGTCAACCTCCATCATCACCTGGACAAGCTTCCTTTACGGTGCCCTCTGGTATCAAATGATTTCTGTGACATTGTCTATGAGTTAAAATGGTTGTAAACCTATGAAATTAAAAAAATAAACAAAGCATATCTAGTGTGTACTTGCCTCAATCAAAAGCACCTAGTGTGGCTCCTCTCTGATCTCTCTTTCCTCTGCTATCTGCATGAGTCATTTCTGACAGTAACTTGAGATCAGGCAATCTTGAAAAAGGGCCCCACCCCACCTTCAGTGAACAGAAGGTGACTGACAGCTTCAGCTGTGCATGTTTCCTTATGAGATTGTAGAGAGGGGAGTGAGTCCACTCCCTGCACTCGGGTCTCAGATTACACTTCGCTCTGTACTCTATACTGTGCAGTGCGTGATGTCAGATCCCCCCCCCCTTCCTTCTGAAGCTGAGAAGAAGCCTTTGATCTGTGTGTTTGAGAAGGATGTAGAAAAGAGAGGGCTGCAGATAAACAGGTACAACCTATATAGGAGAATTTGTTTCTTCTCCATGTATCACCTAAAGCTAGCCACTCCAGTGGGTATATGTAAAGGTTTACAACCACTTGAATCTTGGGGGGAGGGGGGAATCTATCAGCTGACCTACTATTATTCCACAAAATGCGAGACTATAGGAGTGTTAGCTATGACCAAAGGTACACATGTTGTTAAGATACAAATGTGACAATTGTTTAAGGAACATGTATTTTCCAGGAGATTTATCCATATATCTGATTTCCATTAACAGTTAATTGGTCCTTTAACAGACAGTTATCTCACACCATATAAGAGCTTTATTTCATCAGCTGTATTAATACGTGCATGTAGGTCCTGTCCAGAAATCCAGAAATCATACAATCAGGAAAATATTGACTGCAGTCAGCTCTTTGATATGTACATATTTACCTGTGATGTTGTCCTTCTGGCACACATTAGTAGATGCTGCTGGTGTCAATATATTACACGGTACCCAGGCTTTTCTTTTTGATATAGGATCCTTTACTAACCTAAAAACAGTAAGAGTAAAACTTTCTGTAGACCTGTCATTATAAAACAGTCACTGTAGGTTAGACAGAGTTAGACAGACAAAAAGAAACTAACAAGTTCTCCAATGATATCTTGTATCACCTTAAAGCGGAGGTCCAGTCGCAATGAAAAAACAAAATACAAAAACTGTAGCTGCTGACTTTGAAAAAATAGATTCTCATCTGTCCCTCGATCCTGCGATGTCCTCACACTGGCCGGGTTGACCGACCATCCTGTCTCCTCGGCGGCAGCATCTTCAGTGTGGGCAACCGGCTATGACAGCTTGTGGCTTCGCTGTGCTTTGTGAATGGTCCCGTAAGCTTCTGAGACCTATCACAAAGATTACGGGGAGGGAAGTGTTGGAGGACAACTTCCGCTTCCGATCGCCTTAGGCAATCGCAGCAGAAGTGGGAGATGGTACCTGTCAAATTCAGGTACCCGCTCCCCAAAGGTGCCAATCCTTAATGGGGAGTGGGGGACAAAGCCTTAAAGCAGAACTTCCCCTTTTGGGTGGAGCTCCACTTTAAGCAATTCATAGTAGTTTATATATTTAAATATATATTTTTCCAAAAAAAGGAAAAATATAATATAGCATACTTGAATACTATGCAGGCCTCAATCTTTTTTGTTATAAAATGCCTTCTGTTTACAGAGCAGAAACACTCAAGCTGATTTTACACACAGGAGAATCAGGCCTCATGCACATAGGGTGTTTTCATTCTTTCCTCTAAACACATTTTCCTCTGGAAAGGAAAAAGAACCTTAAAAAATGCACCTAAAGCTGTGTATTGCACATGTGTCTAGGTGCATCACATGGTTGAGCGTTCACGGATGCCTTTGGCCAAAATATTAATATATTTGTGCCACTGGAATGCATTAATGCCCAAACCATGGACATATCTGGGCACATCAAACATTTTTTCTGTTTTTCAACTCTTCTCCTAAAGGCACTGGTAACGTGTTTTTTTTCAGCCTGTAAGGCACGGTTCACACTCTTGCAACTTGGGATCCAACTTGTGAGACCCAAAATTGCAGGACATGTGAAATGTCATATATCTCTATGAGGGCTATTCCAAATTACACTACTAAAGTCGCTGCAACTTCAGAAAATGTTCCTGAACTACTTTGATCCAACTTTTGGTATGGCTTCTAAGTGTAAAAGTCGTATCAAAATCGGACTCCAAAGTCGCACTGAAAATTGCATGACTTTGAAATTGGCTAGTGTGAACCGAGCTTTAGGCCCGGTAGCTCGAAGCGCAAAACCGCTCAACTAGCAAAACCTATTGTTTTCAACAGCCCTTATTCACATCTGAGTGTTCTGTTGCTTGTAGCAAAATACCTGTCACTCAAAAATGTACATGAGCTACTTTACAGGCAGAATTGAGCATTTTGGGCCCCATTGACTTCAATGGGAACACTTGAAAACACTTGATTTGTGCATTTTTATTAACTTAATCTTAATGTTAGCTGATGTCCTCCCCTAATGATTTCTGTCCGCTAAAACAAAATGCCCAAGGCCCTGTTCACACAGTATTTTGTACCTTGTAGCTTCAAAAGCTCAATAACTCTCAACAAGCAAAAACCCATTGTTTTCAATAGTCCTTGTTCACATTTGAGCATAATGCCTGTAGCCAAACGCCTGTAGCTCAAAAGAGTACATGAGCCACTTTTCAGGCAGAACTGAGCATTTTTGTCCTTATAGTCTTCAATGGAAACGCCTTGCAAAGCACAAAATTAGTGTTTTCGAGCATCATTTTAAGTGTTTTTTCAAGTGTTTTAACATGCGTTTTCTGTTCAAGCAGCTCTCCACCCCTTTTTCAGCAGCACTCCACACCTTTTAGTTGAAAAACGCCTGACAAAAGCTGCAAAAGTATGGAATTCTGCTAAAAAAAACCCACTCAAAACGCTGGGAAAAAACGCTTGAAAACGTAATGCTTAGGTGTGAATGTAGTCTCAAGCTTCAACACACATGTAAAATGCATGTAATACTCTTCTAAAAACACTCAATAAAGCACGTATAAAAGCTTCTGAAAATTGCTCTGCTCAGGTGTGAATGCAACCTTAATGCTGCTCTTCCAAATACGCCTGTGTGTGCATTGAAGTATAGGCTAACATTGAGGTGCTTTTACAGGCAGAAAAAAACATACCAAGCACCTGTAAAAGTGGCCCTTTTTTTAAAAACTCAATGTGCATGAAGTCTTACTCATCTTTTATTGGATGGATGTATCTGAACTTTCAATCTAAGATACAGACAAAGCAAGCCGCAAAGTGGGCAGCTAATGCAGTGTCACCTTTTTAGCTGACTCATAATATTCTGGGGATCCTTTGTCATGAATAAAATATTTATTTGTAAAACAAAGATGTGCATATATTGAAAACAAAAATATAGTATATACTGTATGTATCTGTGTATATACATACAGTAAATACATATAATATCCATTTTAAAATGTATAAATAATGGAACTGAAATCATTTTAGTTCTCCTATAAAACAGAATGTATCTACATGACATCTCTACAGCCACCTAAAGGAGTGATCCACCTGCTATCTTTAAATGGGGACTACACCTTTTTGTTTTTTTAGATTTATGATGAAAAAATGTGACATTTTGTAATAAGAAGACTACACTTTGGACTTATCAGTGAGTCTCAAAAAATATCTGTGAAAAGAATAATCACATAAAAGTAATTTCAGTAACAGGTAAAATTGATTCAACCCTGCAGCCATGTTTTATGGCCCACCACTGCCAGAGCACCACTACATGAGACATGTTTAATGCTAGACAGGTGTTCACTTTCTTAGAACTTGCATCGGTCCTGGAAGTCAGATGATGGAAGACTCCAGTGATGGATCAGTGCTTTGATTCAGGACAGGTAAACTGAGCAATGAGGTTTCCTTTAGAATAAAACCTTATGGATCTGCACTCTATCTGGTCTTGAAAACTGAATATTAGACTTCATGTAAGGAAATAAGAGAGAAAGAGAAAGAGGAGATGTTGGTAATAGCAACTAACCAGACTCAACTTTCAGTTAATAATAGATAATCGTTTGACATCTGACTAGTTACTAAGAACAATATATGCAGTTTTATTTTCTGCTTTTTATGGAAGGCCCACTGTGTTCAAGCTGCATGTACTGTACACTGGGGAGCAGCAGGGATATAGTACATCCATAAAACATGTAGAAAATATAATAGCACACAGCAACTGTATTTGTCCTTTCACTGTGTAGAGTAGTCGGAGTTGGGTGACCTATGTGAATCTTTGCCTTACTAATAAAGTCTTTTAGTACTTGAGCTTTTTTCTTTAGTTGAATTATTTTGTTAAAAAAAGAAATTTTACTGAAAAAAATATAAAAGAAGCCAACTGGTGACCTCTCCTTTTCAAAATGCAATGTAATAGCTTCAGTACTTTCTGGCTCACTAACCTTACATGTATGTAGATCAGGAATTATGACTTTGTGCTCACATTTTGCATAGTTTGCATACTTTCTGAGAAAATCGTATATTGAACCCAAAAACAGGACATTTTTGAGGAAGATAAGCAATAGCTGCCTTCATATTTTCCTTGAAACAGGTTTGCTTTGAGTTCTGGGGATTCTCTAAGGGGGATCTCTGCATTTAGTTCCTTTTGGGGATTTTATTAGGAAGATCTCCTCACTTCTGGGTCTGCACACATATTTTGGCCATTATGAAGGCTTCTCACTATACCTGTTGGATGTTTTATTTATTTTATATTAAAAAGAATGCAGCAGTATAGTAGCTAGGATAGCTTGTATATCAGTAGCTGGGATATACAAAAGTGGATGGGAATACCCAAAGTGGATAAGTCAGTAATTATGGCAGTGGCATTCTCACTGTTGACCCTTAGACAAAAAAAAAAGCCGCCGACTAAACTCAACAGGCTATATCTATAAACATCCATAATATGTTTGAGTGGATGGTCCCTTTAAGGTTTTTTGAATAGTCCATGTAGAAGACTTAAATCCCTTTTAGTGGAGCAATAAAAGGGATTCATGTTTTTTAAATGTGGGAATCACATTAGAGTGTTGGCTTGCTAGACTTTGATTCTGATGGTTTAGGGATTATAGCAGCACAGGAGGTATCAATTTTGCATGTAGAAGAATGAACATTTTCATTAATGCTAGAAAACCAAGACCACAAAATACATAGCTTTAAAATAATGACATTTCCCACAGTTTTTTCTCACACTATTTTCTCAAAATAACTATTGGATAAATACCAAAAAAAAAGATATTGCAGCTGTGTTACATTAAGTGCTGCACATTACTGTAAAACTCACCACTGTCCGTTCTCTCCACACTGTATGAAATATACTACATCCCCTTCTTTGAGGGAGAACATGCTAGGTGAGCATGTTTCAAAACTGCTTCCCACTGAGAAAAGCTTTGAACCCTGAAACAGTAAATAAGCAAGAATGAATGTGGATGGATAAAGCAAAAACAACAACAAAAAACAAAAACAAAAGCCATTTCTCCTAAAAAAAAAAAAAAAAAGGTAGGAATGGATATACATTACAAATAATTACTTTGGAGTTAGTGGTTTCTTCTTCAATATCAGAAGAATTTGAAAGTTCATCATTGCTGGATGGAATGGCAGAAAAATCTTCATATGTTTCTAAGGAATTCAGATGTCTTGGCCAACCTTTAAGAAGATGAAGAAATGATAAAATTTCCTGACCATAGCATAGATTATGCTGATAATGTGACTGATGTAAGAAGAGAAATGTATGACAGTTATGTTAAAAAGACTTTTTGTAGAAATGTATGAGTCTGTTAAACGAAATGAGGAAACTGAGGAAATATTGACATTGCTTTTAGCAAGTATGCCTTCAAAGACTACGTGTACAGTAAATGCATACTGAAATAGACAATTACAGTCTTAAACTGGGTATACATTAAAATAATTTGTTCAACATTTTATGTTGCAAGAATGTTGAAAGAATGTTTTTTTTTTTTAATCATTACTGGGGTCAAATCGATGTTCGTTTTTGACAGTGATGACAAAAACATAAAGGAGCAGGGTGGAAAATGTCTCTCTTGTATGAACTTCTAACACTATATGTCATTTTCGTTTGGTAAAGTCCACACATTCCAAAATCAAATGTTAACAGCAAGCAAAATCTTGAATGACTTTTGAGTGGGATTCGAACATTCTGAGAATTGTGGTACAAAGTTTCCAAAGAATTTTGCATTAATTTTTGTTCTAAATTTTACTAGTGTATACCCAGCTTAACTTGTACATATGAAATCATTAAAATCCACAATGGCACCACATCAATGGAGGGATGCTCCTCTAAACAGGAGATGCGTGTGACTGAGAGATGTATACATGTGATTGAGAGAATGTATTTCTTTCCCACTGTCTTTAGGCCTGTCCATCATTAGAAATTTCTATAGGTTAATCATAGCTTCATGTTGAAACAGTAAATAGGTGATAAATTCAACATAATTAAGCTTGTCCATAAAAACCTGTTAGAAAGGAAAAGCTAAGGCATTTTTATGATAACTAACTGAATATTAGATTTCAAATTCAGTCTGATGGCAACATTTCCATTTCCTATTGCTTTGGACTCTAAATTGCAACCCAAATTTTCAGTTGGGCCTTTAAATGCCAATCCCCAGGTACACTGGTAAATGCACAGCTAAAATACATATGTGGGGCAGCACAGTAGCTACATGGTTAGCACTTCTGCCTGACAGTACTAGGGTTGTTGGCTGGAATCCCAACCTTGACACCACCTGCCTGGAGTTTGCATGTTCTCCCTGTGCCTGCGTGGGTTTCCTCAGGTACTCCAGTTTCCTCCCACACTCCAAAGACATGCCGGTAGGTTAATTGGATCCTGTCTAAATTGTCCCTAGTATGTGTATGTATGAATGTAAGTTAGGGACCTTAGATTGTACACCCTTTGAGGGTTAGGGACTGATGTGAATGTACAATATATATGTAAAAGTGTTACGTAAATTGACGGCACTATATCAGTACCTGAAATAAATAAATATGTGGGAACCGTTTTACCCAACATAAGATTTGCAATGTTTGCAGCTTTTGTAATCCATGCATCCTTATCAGCTACAGCTCAGACCTCAAATTATATTGCAGCAGCACTGCTTGATCAAGAAACTTCCACCCTGCTCAGTGGACAATGAAAGGGCAGCAGAACACTGATGAGATCATCCTTCTGCTCCCTTCCTGCTTTAAAAATATTTTGTTCAGCACCTGACTGCTAGTACTGCCCCTCCCTCCCTCAGTATTGCTGTGCAGGGGACTACATGTTAGTATTAAAATAACTTCCGCTAATAGCTTCCACTAGGCACAAGGTTCTTCCACTAGTTACATAAAAAAAAACCCACACATATATTTATTATTGAAGTTTTTATATCAGCCTGGAGTTTAGCTTTAATGCTTTCTAACATCTCCTCAGTGAACATTTTTTAATAAGCCTGCTATTCCGTCTTTTTATTGCATTGCTATTGAACCACTAATATCTATGGCTTGTTTTCTTAGCATAGAATGCTTGTTTCAAAAACTGGATGGATTTAGAAAAAAAAAATACCAGCTGTACATATACACATTTTTATAGTACGCATGAAGATAACCATATACAGTATGAGTGATCACTTTGAGCTGACTGAGCGGAGATATAATGCTATTCAAGAATACTGACATAGATGGAAAATAAATCATAGCCATAATACATAATTATACAGTGTCTAAGGTATACATGCATAGGATAACTTAAAAGGCACGCAAGTCTTTTTTTAATTGCAGTGTAACAATATTAGACACAGAACAATAATACAGTCAATAACAAAATGTAAGTAAAAGCATGCACTAATAATTGTAGACATATAAAACACTTTGAGATCACACATGCAACAATGACTTTGGTTGGCAACATCATTTGACACTCACAGTGTACAGTTACATTGTATAAAGTGTATTGTCCATAAGATGTGCGTTCCACTCTAAAGACCACCCCAAATATTAGAGGGAGGCTGGATGTGCAAGCACAATAGGACCTCCCTAAAGCCTTGTATACACAATCAGAAAATTGTACGAAAAATACTGCTTTCAAAGCAATCGTACGATAATCTGATCATTAGTACATAGCTATTGCCTGAAATTATTTGAAGGGACAAGCACAAAAATTTTTCTCGTATGATAACAGATCGTACAATTTTTATTTAATCAGTCCAGTTTTTGCCTGAAAATACAATACAAAACATTACATCGCTTCCGAATTTTTATTCTGTCGTACGAGAATTTTCATAACTTTAGTAACCTCTTCATTTTGGATATGGAGACTAGCAAGCAAAAAAAAAAGAACGATCATTCGTACAATATTCTCATTGTGTCACCGCCAACAGGGCTTCCATCTTTACTCAGTCTTCTCTCCGGGTTCATGGGCTCCAATCCTAGACGTCAGTCTAGGAGTCACTGTTTACAGCACAGAGCTCTGAAGGAATGGCATGGGTATGCTATTTCTTTAGAGCGCATGCACCAGCTGCTGCACAAGTAAATATCTCTTAAATAGTGCATGTTTAGGAGATATTTATAGTACCTACAGGTTGGCCTTATTATAGGCTTACCTGTATGTAAAACATTAACAATAGGACTTTACTACCACTTTAAGAAAAGGCATCCAAGTTTTTAGGACACTAGCAAAAAAATTAGGCATGATGTTTAAAGGCAGGATATCAGGGGCTGGCTTAACAATTTCTGTCTGCCATTTAATGTTCCAACCTCGTGTAGGTGGCAGTATACCAAACTGTTTAAGAATTTCTTAATTCCTATATCTCTCAATGAAAGATAAAGAGTCAGTTTTGTGACACTTCACTCCAGCACTGTGCAGGAATGCCTTTTCACAAAATATGAAATTGTCAGCTTTTCAAAGATCCTGCAAGAACACTGAACGATGTCACCCTCATCTACGCCAATAGGCCAAAAGTCATGGTCTTAAAGTGGAGTTCCACCAAAAAGGGGAAGTTCCGCTTTAAGGACTGCTCCCCCGCTCCCCATTAAGGATTGGCACTTTTGGAGGCAGGGGGGTGATTAGGTACCCGAATCTGACAGGTACTCGCTCCCACTTTTGGTCCGATTGCCTAAGCGACCGGAAGCGGAAGGTGTCCTCCCTCCCTGTAGTCTTTTGGGACATGTGACAGGTCCCAGAAGACTACAAGACCATTTATGAAGCGCAGCGCTACTCGTGCATGCGCAGTGGGTACCCGGCTGTGAAGCAGCAAGCTATCACAGCCGGGTGCCCACACTGAAGATGCCGGCACCTGGAACGGGCTGCGGGGGATACACCTCGGGACCGAGGGACAGGTAAGTGGCTGTTTTTTAAAAGTCAACAACTACAGTTTTTGTAGCTTTTATTTTTTGACAGGGTGAGTGGAAGTCCGCTTTAATATTTTGACATTATTTTTGGTAATCTTCTTTTCTTATGCGATTTGAATTGAGACGTGGGGCTACAATATAGGGTTTACATGCTGCAATTGCAATGTCTACTTTAAAGTTACTAGACTACATTCTGTTGACATGGGCCCTAAAGCACATAAAGATCTGTTTTACCAAATTTCAGAATTGCGTTTCAAATGTATGCTGTGGGTTGTGTGTACATTACTAGCACATTCATGCAATGTTTTCACCCGAATGTCCATGAAGCTGATCACATTCTTGTGCACTGTACACTACCAAGCTGCCATTGTCATGATTAGCAGGCTTGTTGGAAAGAATAAACAGCTAAAGCTTTCTGACACTATTCACAAATGCACAAAATAACCTAGACATGAAGGGGTTAAAATTAAACCATCAAGATGCCTGAAATACAGGAGGGGGAAGTGGATACAGTTTGTACAAAGCATGAAAATATATGTAAAGTATGTGGCAATGAAAAAGATAACAGAGATAGCATACAATAGGTAACCACGTACAAAGACAATCATGCAAGACCACATTTAGTACATTACATCATATATACCTTCTAAACCCAAGGGAGTAGGGTCACTCTTTATTTCATGTCTCTTTGCTTTCACATCAGGACCAAGAGGACCTAATAGTGGACAAACATGAAAAAGTGCAAGCCTGTTGAGCGTTTGAACTGTGTAATTATCAAGGACTGAAAACTGAGGTGAAATGTGAGCCACATTGCTCATCGCTGTCATAGTCACAAGTGAAATGTCAACAGTAAAATATGCACTGTAGTACGTTACAAATGGTAAAAATAGACTCTTTTTAGTCATCATTGGCACATTAGGGCGATTTTTTTTTCTTTCTTTCCCTCTAGTAGACACAACACAAAGCTACAGGAAATCTATCCACATTAAGCCTGGGTTCATATATGTGTGGTGCGGTATATCACATGTGATTCGTACAGGAACCGCACCGCATTCCTGTGCAAATCACATACGAATTGTGCGCGTTGCGACTGGAGACATACATTTTGTATGGCTATATGGGCACCCACACCAAAAACGTTAAGGACCCTTTTTGGGTCCACACTAGAATCGGATCGCATGGGTATTCACTCCTATGCGATCCGATTCTGCACATCGCACTGCGTTTTGCAGACTGCTTTCGGGGTGTTGTTAACTTAATATACACACCCGCAGCGGTTCACATAAACGGGGTGGGATTCTGATGCGGTGCGGAATTGGCACTGAAAACGCTGCAAATATCGCACCACATCAGTGTGAACCAGGGCTCAGGGAAATTCTCTCTTAGACAATTGTCATTGTCAATTGGGTGAGCAACATAGAAGGCCTTTTCTTTATTCCTGTTCAGCTTGAGCTTTTGGATTTTTTTCACTTTCAGTTCCACTGACAATGGTCGCTCTTGCAATCAGAGAGGGTGAATCTTCCCAGGGGGGACACAGACCATGATAAAACCCAATAAGTAATAGACCATGTCCACGGTGCTGTATAATTGCTACACAAGGCATGTTGTAATTTAATGTAAAAAATATATATTTTAAATATGTAGCTGTTCTGTAAATTATCAATGAACTGTTGATGTACAGAGAGCTTCCAGAAATGTAACTTCCTGCTTGTGTGATTCGCTTCCTGATTTTCCCAAAAGTCTGCACAAAGACACAAGTCAAATTTTAGGCAAACCAATAGGAATTTCAGTTTTGGTGAAATACTCCCCAAGGGTTAAATACTTCTAAAGGGACCCTTTACAGACCCTGCAGTGGAAAACTGAGAGTGCACCAGGGGATTTTAATGAACCAAACCCCGCCATTCAGGTTCAGTCTGTAAAGGACAAAGTGAAATAAACAACTCTTTCTTCAGAGCAACAAAAGACTGGAATCTGCTATTCAGTTTTTTTAAAATTTCAGCAATGTACATTGGTCACCCAGAGGGGTTTTTTTTTTTTTTTCAACAAAAGTAGAGCTACTCTTTAAAAGTAAATAGATGGTCAATTTAAAGTTGGAAAACTACTGTCAGATTTAACAAGCAGGGATCTAGAGGTAACTACAAATAAGATTTGCAAAAGATGTCTGACCAAGCTCAATGTTGTAATCTGCAGGTCAGTTATACATAACAGAATGTACCCTGGAAGCTATGTATAGGTACAGAGAGAGAGAAAACAGGTGGCGCACACACCTAGTGCATTATCCAAGGTTTATTGTAGGAATGAAATAATAAAAACATACTCACAGACGAAGCATGTATCTAAAAAGCGTAGAAAAATGACAATGGCCACAACGGCGGGCAAGGTGTTCTCACTGTCAGTGCGGTCAAATGGCTGATGCGTTTCGGGGACGAATCCCTTTCCTCAGAGCTGATGACCAACCTCTGATGCTGATGTATGATGTATGGGATGCATGGACAGAAAGAGCCTTGCTATTGATGTCAGCCATTTGACCGCACTGACATTGAGAACACCTTGCCCGCCGTTGTGGCCATTGTCATTTTTCTATGCTTTTTAGATAATGCTTCGTCTGTGAGTATGTTTTTATTGTTTCATTCCTACAATAAACCTTGGATAATGCACTAGGTGTGTGCGCCACCTGTTTTCTCTCTATCCAGTGGCTGATTTCCCCGTCTGAGGAGGGCTGCACCCCTAGAACATTTCCTTTGGTTGTCGCTGTCCTGGTACCCTTGGCTTCCCTTTTGGCTGTGCATATCCTGAGGCGCTGGAGAGTACATACGATATCCGGTTCAGCTATGTATAGGTACACCCAGACACCTTTGGTGCCTGCTTGTCATTCTAGCAGTGTAGTAACTTTATGTGCTTTTGAGCTGCAATTAACCTCCTTCAGACCTTCATTTGACTTGTTTATGCGGCTTTTGCATTCCCATAGACTTGTATAGTGTAAGAAGCAGTTCTGATGCAGACAAAAGCCCATATTGATGGCTCTTAGAGTAAACAGTAAGGTGTACTGTCTGCAGACCCAGCACAATGTTTCCATGCAAATACTGACGATTGCTTTTGCAAGGGCCTATGCCCCCTTTCCTCTGTACCAAGGTTCTGGTCTGGCACCAACCACTACCTTCAGGTTGGGGGACAAGTGTAACTGTGTTATACATATACTACTCTCATCTTAGGTTAGATTTTTTGCAACTAATAGAGGTTACTGAAAGTGTTCCTTTGCAGCAGAAGTAGTTTGACGTTTTTTCACAGGTTTTTTGTTTTTACAATAAAATATGCAATCAGGCCAGAGAACCCAAACTATAGTACACAACTCAACAGAGTTCAAAGCACTTTTCACTTTTGTTTTCAACAAAATATATAATTAGACTAGGCATTCCCAAACATTTGCAGTCAATGTTACCTAACTGAAATAACTGAATCACAGAACTATAGCTGTTAAAGCAAAACTAAACTACACCCCCCCATCTTTCTGCAGCCAAAGACAGTGCCAGCTTAGCTTCTGTTAGACCGGCGGGTGCCATGGTTCTGCACAAGTGATCACCTACTGTATTACAACAGCCATTTGAGAGCTTGAATATTTGGTTGAGAGCTTACATAGACATGCTGACAATTGTGACAGTTATCACCAGAGGCAGGCCTTATAATTTAAATAAAACACTGCAGAAAACAACATTAGCATGTTTGATTAAGGATTTAATGTCAAATATTGATCATCCCTAACTACAGCTTTGTTTTGGGAAACCGTTCAATTGTTGGTCCTAAAGGGTAAGTCCATTTTTGTGGGAACACAATAGCACATAAGAAAATAATATAGCATACACAGTTGCTGCACAAACTATATTGTAATTTATTGTTATAGAAATGACCTTTCCATTTCAATCTGCAGCACTGTAGCTTTCTGTACTATTCATGCAATGCAATATGTCAACCTGGAGATGTTCCAAACATCACTACTGTACAGAACACCTCCAAAAATGTAATTTCGTGCTTGTGTGATTGGCTCACTGATTTTTCTAGTCTGCACTAAGACAAGAGTAATAGTTTGGGCACTTGGTAAACGTCATAAACCACACCTTCCCATTCAAAATCAATATCTAAAAGACATGGTCAAATAAACAGCAATTTCTTTTGAGCAGAAACAGGTAGGATTCCGCAACAAAGTTTGTTAAAATTCTTGCAATTTATATTGATCACCCAGAGGGGAATGCTTTTTTCTCCACAAAAGTGGAGTTACTCTTTAAGATGGCTATACACGTTTAGATATTTTTCATTCAGCCTGCTGTTCAATCAAACATTTTCTGTTTGGCTTCTTCTATTTTTCAATCAAAAGACTTTGAGTGGAAGGTGGGCCAACAGGGCCACCCATGTAGCACATTTTGGCCCGATAAACATCATAAATTCGCATAGTGTATAGCAAGCTTTAGTTCCGATTTAATGTTTTATGATCATTTTCTCAGATAATCGTGAATCAGAATTTTTGGTTAAATTAGATTTATGATATATGTTTAATTATATTTTAATTATTTTCTTCTTTTTTTTTATCACATCTCTATATTTAGGTATTACCAGGGGCGGACTGACAACTCATGGGGCCCCCGGGCAATAGGGGATCATGGGGCCCCTGTGCCCTTGCTCAAACTCAAAAAAGCCTATGAAAAAGGTACCAGGGGCATCTCATTGGGCCCCTACTGACCCCGCTCCCTCGGGCAATGCCCAACTTTCCACATGGTCAGTCCGCCCCTGGGTATTACTATTTACTTCTATTTTGATTTATACTCCTTTTGCTTGGATAGCAGTTATATTTAATTATTTCTTGTTTAGTTGTTCCTTAGAAATACAGGCTTCAGTATAAAATCTTACTTTCTTAATATTTTTCTTTCTAAGCAACCCTTTAAAACTAGTATTTGGGCTTGTGTAGATGGGTATACTGTATGCAGGTTGCTTTCAGATGCATTCACCTTGCTTTTCAGATGAGTTTGAGACAATAAGGCCTCGTTCACACCATGGTGCAGTGAAGTTCGTTTTTCTGCACATGTTCTGGAAGGGCACAATTGTTATCTAAGTGCCCTCTTCACACCACAACACTAGTATCATGTGCAAATTTTTTCTACAATGTATGCAGTTTTCTGCATGGAAAAAAAACTGAGGTGACATCAACATTGTGGTATGAACAGGGCAGAAGGGAAACTGATGACACAGGGTGTGATGTCTATCTCTGCATTAAAAAATGCGCATGAAAGCAGATGTCACCATGCATATAAACTCACTGAAACATGCAAGAAAACCGATGTAAACTCGTGTTTCTGCAGATGAAATCTGCTTAATTTCTTCCATCAGTTTTTATGCACGTATGATGTGAATGAGGCCTAATAGGTGGAGAAAAGCAGTTCTGATGCAAACGAAAGCCAGTCAACACAGGCCTTGATACAGCTCCTTTTTATCCACAAAAACAGCTCCAGGAATATGTAAATAGCATGCAGCATTCTACTGGTGTGCCACTAACAGACTGCCTGTGTGTACTGGGTTATGCAAGATCAATATACTTCTTACAGTAACATACTTAACATTTTCTCAATTTATACCCATTTCTGTCTCTGTTTTGCAGAAATGACAGATATGGCTACTCAAAACCAAATTTATTCATTTATGAGAGGGAAAAAAAAAAGGATTTGCCCATTATAGGAATCGATTTTTAGATTTTATTATATGCTTTGCACTGGAGAATAAGCAAGAAATCTGACTTGTGGCTACTAACAGCTATTTCTCTTTTTGCAGCCCTTATTTTACACATCAGAATAATATTATCATTTTCAGTTTCACACAAGATTGTTTATATTGGCCTCCTAATGAAGCCTTGTATATCCCTTTA